CCGTCGGGCCCCCTCAAAATAGGGGGGGGGGCCACAAGAGCAGGAAAAATCAACGAATCGACACCGGATTTGTATTAATTTGACACGTTCTGATAAGGGGCTGCGGCTTCCTGAAGCTCTCTGGGGCCTCCTGGGGCTCCCAGGGTCTCAGGGGGGATATGTAAAATGTGGTCTTCTGGGCCCCCAGGCTGGACCACCTCTTGCGCGGCATCTGGGAGTTAAGAGTTGCGAGAATGTCTTGTGCGAAACGGGCCGGACCAACTTGCGCATGGCATCTCAGAGCTCAGAGTTGCAAGGATGTCTCAGGCGAGACGGGCCGGTGTCTCGGGCGAAACGTGCTGCGAGGAAGTCTCAGGCGAAACGGGCCGGACCACCTCGAGCGCGGCGTCTCAGATCTCCGAGTTGCGGGGGCCTCCTGGTGCCTCCTGGCGCCTCCTGGGGACCTCCTGGGGCTTCCTCCTGGGCCTCCTGTGGCCTCCTGAACTCCACCTGGGGTTTCCTGAAGCCTCTTGGGGCTCCCAGGGGGGATATCTAACCTGTGGCCGCTTGGGCCCCTCAAAATGAAGGGCGGGGCACAAGAGCAGGAAAAATCAATGAATCGACACCGGATGTGTATTAACTTGACACGTTCTGATAGGGGGCCTCCTGGGAGCCTCCTGGGAATCTCCTGGGGACCCCTGGGGCCTGTCCTGGGCGTCCTGCGGTCTCTCTTGGGCCTCCTGGGGCTCCCAGGGTCCCAGGGAGGATATGTAACATGTGGTCTTCTGGGCTCCCAGGCTGGAACACCTCTTGCGCGGCATCTGGGAGCTCAGAGTTGCGAGAATGTCTTGTGCGAAACAGGCCGGACCACCTTGCGCACGGCAACTCAGAGCTCAGAGTTGCAAGGATGTCTCAGGCGAGACGGGCCGGACCACCTCGCGCAGGGCATCTCAGAGCTCAGAAGTTCGAGGATGTCTCAGGCGGGCTCCCAGGGTCCCAGGGAGGATATGTAACATGTGGTCTCCTGGGCCCCCAGGCTGGACCACCTCTTGCGCGGCATCTGGGAGCTCAGAGTTGCGAGAATGTCTTGTGCGAAACAGGCTGGACCACCTTGCGCACGGCATCTCAGAGCTCAGAGTTGCGAGGATGTCTCAGGCGAGACGGGCCGGACCACCTCGCGCAGTGCATCTCAGAGCTCAGAAGTTCGAGGATGTCTCAGACGAAACGGGCCGGACCACCTCTCGCGCGGCATCTCCGAGGTCAGAGTTTCGAGGATGTCTCAGGCGAAACGGGCCAGACCACCTCGCGCAGGGCATCTCAGAGCTCAGAGTTTCGGGGATGTCTCAGGCGAAACGGCCCGGACCACCTCTCGCACGGCACCTCGGGGCTTAGAGTTTCGAGGATGTCTCAAGCGAAACAGCCTGGACCACCTCTCGCGCGGCGTCCCGGAGCGCAACTTTTCGAGGATCTCTCAGGCGAAACGGCCAATCCCGGCCAACTCAGAAACGAGAGTTGTGAGGATGTCTCAAGCGAAACGGCCCGGACCATCAAATTTTGGTGAGGATGTCTCTGCTCCGACTTCCCTCGGCCGGAGTTAGCTTTTATCACAACAGCACCCCGTTCAGCAAGCTGTTTGGGGAAAAAGCGATCCCTGGGATAAGATCGAGAGGTCCGCGGACGCACGTCTCGAAACAAACATTTGGACGTCGGATGTCTGGGGATGGCGGGAGGCAAGGCGCGCATGGCGGATGCTGAGGCGGCAAAATGACGGAGACGGCGACGGGGAGGCGGAGGCAGAGGCACAGCAGCGAAAGGCGAGAGGCGTGAGGAGGAAGGAGGGAAGATGAGGCAGGCGGGAGGCAAGAGGAGGGAGGTGGGAGAAATGAGAGAGGTTTCAGGCAGAACGGGGCACACCATCTCGTGCGCAGCATGTCGAAGAACCCTGACGAAGAACCAGTCCCGGGGACGAGATCGAGAGGTCCGCGGGCGCACGTCTCGAAACAAAAATCGTGACGTCGGATGTCTGCGGAGGGCGGAAGGCAGGGCGCGCATGGCGGCATCTCGGAGCTTCGCATTGTGAGGATGGCTCGGGAGAAACGGACTGGACCACCTCGCGTGCGGCATCTCGGAGCTCAGTATTGGAAGGATGCCCCAAGCGAAACGGGCCGTTCTACCTCTCGACTCCCGTTAAGCCCTCTCATGCAACTCCATTCCTCATCCCTCCTCCTCCTCCTCCTCCTCCTCCTCCTCCTTCTCGTCCTCCTCCTCCTCCTCCTGCCTGCTCCCTCCTCCTCCTCCTCCTCCTCCTCCTCCTCCTCCGGCACGTTTTGAGACGTCGCTAAAAGGTATATACAAATCCTGTTTGGGGAACCCTGTCTCGGAGCCCAGAGTTGCGAGGGTGTCCCAGGTCGCACCTGGTCGACGAGTAAGCTGTCGGGTCGGCACTGTGAGAGGCTCCACCGCCATGCTGTGAACTCAGAAGCATCTTTAAGAGGAAGCGGGGGAGGGCGCGGAAGCGGGGGGGCATGTCGTGATGGTTCCCTCGGGGATGATATCGAGAGGTACGCGGCGCACGTCTCAAAAGAAAAATCGTGACGTCGGATGTCTGGGGAGGGCGGAAGGCAGTGCGCGCATGACGGATGCTGAGGCGGCAGAAGCGACGACGGCGGGGACGGGGAGGCGGAGGCAGAGGCGCAGCAGCGGGAGGCGGGAGGCGGGAGGAGGGAGGAGGGAAGAGGAACCAGGCGGGAAGTGGGAAGAGGGAGGCGGGAGAAGGAATGAGAGAGGTTGTGATTGGAGCTCCTGTGCTACGAAACGTCTCAGGCAGAATGGGCCAGACCATCTCGCGCGCAACATCTTCGAGCCTCGCATTGCGAGGATGGCTCAATCGAAACGGGCCGGACCACCTCGCGAGCGACATCTTGGAGCTCAGTATTGGAAGGATGTCTCAAACGAAACGGGCCGGACAATCTTTCGCACACGTTTGGACAAGTCCACATCGCACTCGCTTCCCGTTAGGTCCTCTCCTGCAACTCCTTTCCCTCCTCCTCCTCCTCCTCCTCCTCCTCCTCCTCCCCCTCCTCCTCCCCCTTCCTCCTGCCTGCTCCCTCATGCACATCATCCGCCTCCTCCTTCTCCCTTCCATCTCCTTCTCCTTCTCCTTCTCCTCCTCATCCTCCTCCTCCTCCTCCTCCTCCTGAACCTCCTCTTCATCCCGAACGGCATCTCGGAGCCTAGAGTTGCGAGGATGTCTCCAGCGTAACGGGCTGGACCACCTCGCGCGCGGCATCTCGGACCCCAGAGTTGCGACGATTTCTCGGGCAAACGTGCTGCGAGGAAGTCTCAGGCGAAACGGGCCGGACCACCTCGAGCGCGGCGTCTCAGAGCTCCGAGTTGCGGGGGCCTCTGGGGCCTCCTGGGGCCTCCTGGGGACCTCCTGGGGCTTCCTCCTGGGCCTCCTGTGGCCTCCTGAACTCCACCTGGGGTTTCCTGACGCCTCTTGGGGCTCCCAGGGTGGATATCAAACCTGTGGCCGTTTGGGCCTCTCCAAATGGAGGGGGGGCACAAGAGCAGGAAGAATCAACGAATCGACACCGGATGTGTATTAACTTCACACGTTCTGATAGGCGGCCTCCTGGGGCCTCCTGGGAGCCTCCTAGGAATCTCCTGGGGACCCCTGGGGCCTGTCCTGGGCGTCCTGCGGCCTCCTGGAGCTCTCTGGGGCCTCCCCCTCCTCCTGCCTGCTCCCTCATGCACATCATCCGCCTCCTCCTTCTCCCTTCCATCCTCCTCCTCCTCCTCCTCCTCCTCCTCCTCCTCCTCCTCCTCCTCCTCCTCCTCCTCACCTCCTCTTCATCCCGAACGGCATCTCGGAGCCTAGAGTTGCGAGGATGTCTCCAGCGTAACGGGCTGGACCACCTCGCGCGCGGCATCTCGGACCCCAGAGTTGCGACGATGTCTCTGGCGAAACGTGGTGCGAGGAAGTCTCAGGCGAAACGGGCCGGACCACCTCGAGCGCGGCGTCTCAGAGCTCCGAGTTGCGGGGGCCTCCTGGGGCCTCCTGGGACCTCCTGGTGACCTCCTGGGGCTTCCTCCTGGGCCTCCTGTGGCCTCCTGGACCCCACCTGGGGCTTCCTGAAGCCTCTTGGGGCTCCCAGCCGGGATATCTAACCTGTGGCCATTTGGGCCTCTCCAAATGGAGGGGGGGGGCACAAGAGCAGGAAAAATCAACGAATCGACACCGGATGTGTATTAACTTGACACGTTCTGATAGGCAGCCTCCTGGGGCCTCCTGGGAGCCTCCTGGGAATCTCCTGGGGACCCCTGGGGCCTGTCCTGGGCGTCCTGCGGCCTCCTGGTGCCTCCTGGGGCCTCCTGGGGACCTCCTGGAGCTTCCTCCTGGGCCTCCTGTGGCCTCCTGAGTTCCACCTGAGGTTTCCTGAAGCCTCTTGGGGCTCCCAGAGGGGATATCTAACCTGTGGCCGCTTGGGCCCCTCAAAATGGGGGGGGGGCACAAGAGCAGGAAAAATCAACGAATCGACACCGGATGCGTATTAACTTCACGTTCTGATAGAGGGCCTCCTGGGGCCTCCTGGGAGCCTCCTGGGAATCTCCTGGGGGCCCCTGGGGTCTGTCCTGGGCGTCCTGCGGCCTCCTGGACCTCTCTGGGGCCTCCTGAGGCTCGCAGGGTTCCATGGAGGATATGTAACATGTGGTCTTCTGGGCGCCCAGGCTGGACCACCTCTCGCGCGGCATCTGAGAGCTCAGAGTTGCGAGAATGTCTTGTGCGAAACAGGCCGGACCACCTTGCGCACGGCATCTCAAAGCTCAGAGTTGCAAGGATGTCTCAGGCGAGACGGGCCGGACCACCTCGCGCAGGGCATCTCAGAGCTCAGAAGTTCGAGGATGTCTCAGGCGAAACGGGCCGGACCACCTCTCGCGCGGCATCTCCGAAGTCAGAGTTTCGAGGATGTCTCAGGCGAAACGGGCCGGACCACCTCGCGCAAGGCATCGCAGAGCTCAGAGTTTCGAGGATGTCTCAGGCGAAACGGCCCGGACCACCTCTCGCACGGCACCTCGGGGCTCAGAGTTTCGAGGATGTCTGCAAGCTGGTTGCAAAGTCCTCGTCGGGCCCTCGCCGCCCTGCCCGCGCCACGCCGCGTCGGGATGGCCTCCAGCCTCGTGCTCGTCGCTCTCGCCAGCGGCTGCCTGTCAGCAGCTCTTGCGGGCCAGTTCACTCCTCACGCGTTGGACTTCATCGTGCTGGAGGGCGATCCGCTGATGGCCCAGATCGAAGACGATATCGTGGCGGACCTCGCGAAGGTGGGCGTGACTGTGACCACCAGGTTCCTGCCCAAAGAGGAGTTCAATGCGGCAATGCAGGCGGGAGAGTTTAACTTGTGCTTCACCGAGTCTTGGGGCCCGCCCTACGACCCGCAGAGCTTTGCCACTGGCTGGTTCAGGCCCGGGAACGAGGCACACTACCCCGCCATGCAAAAGATGGAGCCCCCTATGACGTTTACTCAGATGGAGACGCTGGTCACAAACGTGCTCTCCGTTGAGAACGCCATGGTGCGGCAGGAGAAGTGGACCGAGATCCTGCTTGAGATGCACCGGCAGGCCATCTCCGCCCCGTTGTGGTCGCGCCGCGTTCCGGCCATTTGGAACAGGCGGTTACAGGGCTACATCTCTGGCAACCAGCAGTACGACTACCCGATGCACAACTTCGTAGTTGACTCCGGTCGGCAACACCCCAACATACTTATACTATATGTGCGTCGCCCCCCCAGGGGCGACGCGCGCACCGAGAAATCTTATAGTATATGCGTCGTGGCGGGCGCTTTCTGGCCACACCGCTCGGGAAACGATATACTACAAGATGGGTATACTATATGTTCGGGTCGGACGCGCGCCTCCAAGGAGGACATATAGTATTAGTATGTCCATGTGCGTCCCATCCGGCTCCAACTCGGTCACGGTGGCTCCTGGCGCACAGACGGGCCTCTTCGTGACCACGGGCCCCATGGACCCGCACAGCTACCGCCCAAACGAGTTTTTTTATCAGCAACTGGATCTACGAGGGCCTCGTATCTTACGGCGACAACGGTGTCATCGAACCTCAGCTGGCTACCGCATGGGAGGTCTCAGACACCAACTCGGGAGGCCAAAAGTATCGCTTCACGCTCAGGACCGGCGTCAAGTTCCATGACGGTACCAGCTTCGATTGCGCAGCTGTGAAGATGAATTTCGATCACGTCTTGCAGCCACCGTTGAACCACAATTGGTACCACGGTTGGTATCACTTGGCGCTCCACACCACTGGTTGGGAGTGCGATGACGAGGTCTTCGAGATCACGCTGGACGCCCCATACTACCCTTTTTTGCAGGAGCTCTCCCTCATTCGCCCCCTGCGCATCCTGTCCCCAGAGAGCTTCTTCAATGGGCCGACCACCGACCCGATCACGCACAACTCGTGTCCCGAGAAGTGGGGCCACGTCAACGGCGACGGCGGCATGGCAAGTGTGGGCGTGGACGCGAGCGTGACCGTGAACTGTGTCGGCGTGAGGAGCTTCGCGGGCACTGGCCCTTGGGTCTACGACAGTACGACCACGCGCACCGACGGCTCGATCCAGGAAGTGGTCTTCTCCAGGAACGCGGCCTGGTGGGGCCAGCACGGCGGCGTGGAGGAGCTGCGCGTGGTGAACTACAACACGAGCGAGTTGATCAAGCAGGCACTGATCGACGGGAGCCTGGACGTGGCGGTGGGCGACAAGGTGCTGACCCCACAGCAGGTGCAGGAATTTCAGAACGATCACTCCGAGACCCACGCCACAATCATGGGCCCACGCTTGTTCAACCAGATCGTCGTCATGAACGCAGCGAAGGCGCCCACAGACGACATCGAGGTGCGGAGGCTGATCATGCACTCCGTCGACAAGGCCGCCATCGTGCAGAAGGAGATGTACGGGCAGGCCGCCGTCGCCGACTCGTTGTTCCCTCGCGACGCCCCTTATTGCGACATCGACCTCACGCCTCGCTGGGACTACGACTTCGAGAAGGCCACGCTGATGAACTGCCCCGACATTCTGGTGTCAGACGAGGACGAGGTCGACGAGGGTCTGGTCCTAGGCCTGTCGCTGGGCATCGGGCTCCCTGTGCTTGCTGGCATCGCTGGCGTTGTGTGTTTCTTTCTGGGAAAGAGCATGGGCTACAAGAAGTTCACCGAGGAGAATGATCAGCGGGTTAGGGCGGGCCCGCCAGCCGTACTCGGTGTGGCCGAAGAAAGCGGTAACACTGTTGAGGCTGACATGTAGGGAACGGTTGCATCGATTGCCATGTCACAAGACCAGGCCCAAAGAGCAGAGCGCAGGCATGATCTTGACATGTTTGAGAGTGGGTTGCCTTTCCACGCAGCGTTTGCGCGCAATTTTTTGTCATGCTTAAAATATCGCCAATCCTGGCGGTTTTGTTGAGGGGTGTTGTTGTATAACATTTTCGTTTGTACATGAGCGCATCTCTCTTCAGTGATGAGGGGATGCGATACATGTCAGCAGTGGGCACACCGTAACACTGCCGACCAAACGCAGTTTTGGCCGCTGGTGTCGATTGTACAGAATCGGCTGCACGGAGTTTGGCTGGAAGCCATTGCAACGAGGCGGTGAGTATTTGTCGAACCTCTTTGGCCGCTTGCGGGCGAATTTTGTCTGATGTGTCCCAGTGTTGAGCGAGGCCGCGTGGGGCACCTCGAGTTTCTTGACGTCGCTCGCGGCTTGCGACAAAAAAGAAAGAGTTTCGAGGATGTCTCAAGCGAAACGGCCCGGACCACCTCTCGCGCGGCGTCCCGGAGCGCAATTTTTCGAGGATGTCTCAGGCGAAACGGCCAATCCCGGCCAACTCAGAAACGAGAGGTGTGAGGATGTCTCAAGCGAAACGGCCAAAACAATAAAATTTGTGTGAGGATGTCTCTGCTCCGACTTCCCTCGGCCGGAGTTAGTTTCTACCACAACAGCACCCCGTTCAGCAAGCTGTTTGGGGAATCATTTTAAAACCGTTGGAAAATCAAAGATTTTCGCCTCTTCGGGCTCTCCTGGGGGACCTCGTGGCACCCTCCTGGGCCATCCTGAGGCCATCCTGGAGCCATCTTGGCCCTTTTTGAGGCTTCTTGGACGATTTAGAAGGCATCTTGGACCCTCTTGGGCCGTCTTGGAGGCCATCTTGGGCGAACTTGGAGGCCACCCCAAGGCCCAGACAGCCGACGACGTGAGCTTTTGATCCGCGGCCTTGGAGCTCCCCGACCGTTTCCTCGGGGACAGCTTTTCGTCCTGGACCCTTTGTAGATGGTCGGTCCAAAGATGCTCAGGTTCGGCGGCGAGCGAGTGGGGGAAGTGAGATGGAGAAGGCCTTCTCAGAAGGTTCGGAAGCCCCCTGGCCTCCTGAGGAGTTTCCCAAGTCTGCCCCGAAGACAGAAATACAAGACCTCGCAGGAGGCGCGAGGGGGCTTTGAGAAGCCCCGCCGCCCTCGAGAAGGCCTTCTCCTTACTCCGAGCTGCTTGATAAGCGTCGGGGGGGCGTCACCCCCGCCGGCAGCCCCACGTCGACCCCTGTTTCGGGCAGCCACCGCGCGCCGAAGGCGCTCCGACCCCCTGTGGCGGCGCGACGACGAGGCGAAGATGACCCCCGTCGGGGGGGTATCCCCCCATGCTTCGGGGCTGGACAGACCTCCTACCCTGACACGTCGATTGGCGAATTGGCCGCTTTTGGTTCGTGAGAGGGCGTCGCGGCCGTCATTTTGCGGGTCCAAGTCCGTCGGTTTCGGTTCCAGGACGTCTTCACTACAGGGAGGTTTACGGAGGTTTGTCCACCTCCGAGATGGTCCCTCTACAGGAGGGATGTGCAAAAATGGCAGAAAAATAGCCTGGGGACGATTTTTTTTTTTACTATTTTTGAAGATTTGGGGGAGTATTTTTTGCGTATCTTTTATTTCCCGTCCAAAACCTCCCTGTAGGGGGACAGGCCCGACCGAACGGTAACGGGGCCCATGATGTTGTGGAGGACGATCCATGGAGAGGAAGCACGTTGCCAAATCATTTCCAGATGTCTAAACCATGCGTTAAACATGCCTTAGACATGTGAAACAAACATGTTTCAGACATGTTCAGAACATTTTCCGACATTCTAACACATCTTAAATTCAATGATGCAGTGGGGGCGCGCATCAAGAAACCACATGCTTTTCGTCAGGGTATCCTGGGTTTCTTCGCTCCGCGCGCGGCGCGGCGACTTCCCGCGGCCGTTGAAGGAGCTGCTGCGTTCACGGTGCTCCAGGTTTCCCCTCCGGTGCACTTCGCGCGCGGGTGTTCAGGGCTGGGTTTCTTGCCAAGTTCTTGCGGCCGCGCCCGCACTGTAGGATTCAATCGGGCCTGTCCCTCTGCAGGAGGGACGTTCCAAAAATAGTCTGGGGACTCTTTCTTGACTATTTTCGGATCCTTTGGGAGCACGTTTTGACCATTTGTTACTTTTCCTCCTAGATCCCCCTGTAGGTCACCACCCACCAAACCACCCCAACCCAACCGGAAGGCTCAGATTAACCCTCGATTTCCAGTGGGGGGGGGTCGGGAAACATCGAAAAAACACATGTGGAATCCTTACCCCCCCCCCCCACCCGAAATTCGGGTCTTCGGGTTGGGTTGGGGTCTGGTAGGTAGTCAGTAGGGGGACAGGCCCGACTTGACTGCAGGACCGCGAGGGTGTGCCTGGGCGCGGCGCCCGCAGCCAGGGCGACGGGCCCCCCGGGGGCCGACGCCGCGAGGGCGGGGCGGCCGGTGGGCAGAGAGGTCCCGTCGTCGGAGGTATTGGGTTTCGGTCGGGCGTGTCCCCCTACTCTGTAAGAACGGTTTTTTGAAGGCAGATCTGCCTTCAAAAAATGGTTTTTTGAAGGCAGATCTGCCTTCAAAAAACCGTTCTTACAGAGTAGACCAGTCTTTCATCCTTGCAGGTAGAGTGCGAATCCGGAGCCAATCTAGGCTCAAGCCTGATGAGCCGCTGATTGCGGCGAAAGCTAGCACCAGCCAAGAGAAGCAGCGAACCTGAAAAAAGTGGGTCCCCCCACAGAGGGATCTAGGAGGAAAAGTAAAGCATAGTCAAAACGTGCTCCCAAAGGATCCGAAAATGATCAAGAAGGAGTCCCCGGACTATGTTTGGAACGTCCCTTCCTGTAGAGGGACAGGCCCGACTTAATCCTACAGTCGGAGGTCTGGTTTTCAGTCGGGCGTGTCCCCTACAGGGGGATCTTCGAGGAAGACTCAAGAATACCTCCAAACATGCTCCGAAGTGGTCAGAAGATAA